CAACAAAACCAATTTAAAAACAAATAAAAGAATAAATCGACTGGTGGAAGTGGGTAGTAGGTAAAAGGAGTTTAAAAAAATAATAGCAGTATATACGAACAATAAATAAATAAATTATGTACAGTTTACACAAAACATACAACAATCGCAATTACGTGTTTACGGATTCACTCGATTACGTGGTGTGTGTACATGAGACAAGAGACAAACAATTAAACAGGGCAACCGGGAAATATAGGTGAAACATTGTTGTTATGTGTGAATTTGCATGAAATGAATATAACAAAATGAAGGAATTCAACAATTAAACCGGATACAAAGAAAATGAAACAAAACCAAAAACAACAACAACAACACAGTGGAGAATCGAGATTCCAGCTCATCATTTCGAATGCAATATGTATTACATACAGATGCGGTGTGTGTGTGTGTGTGTGTGTGTGTGTGATATTATTATTTTATATTATTTATATGTATATATAAATGATGTGGTGTGCACTTATTTACAAAATAATGAACGGTGGTTTATTTGATGATTCTATGCAGCGGTTATACTAAAAAAAATTATATTGTAGAATGTATATTTTCATTCGCCTATCAATAGAGAAATAAATAATCGAAAAACCAAATAAAATATTCTTTGCAATTTAAACGTTAAAAACCGTTCGAAATTCGATTTTGAGAAATGCATCAGACGATAACAACGTCTTTATGCCTAACAATTTTACTGCAATCATGCATATTTTGCTCTCGAAATGCTGCTCCCTCAACATTCATTTTCTTTGTGCATTGTATCCATTTAGCAATTTCATACATTCCAAACAAAAAAATATGTCGAATTTTCTAGCTATTTCTTCGTTTGCAATCGAAGTTCAAATGAATTTTTTTCATATTTTTTTTTCTTCCAATAATGTTTCTGGCGAAGATAAAAAGTTTGGTGCAAGAGCGTTTAGTCAATGGTACAAAATTGCTTTTTTAATCGAGAGTATGCGAAACGCAATTGAAAACGGTACATAGTATCCAATAAACGAGTAACAAATCGAATCTCATCAAGAATTTGCGAGGTTATCAAAACCTGATCATGGATGCTTTTCGAGGCAATAAAAAAAATGAAAAGAATAAGATGACGACATGAAATACATACACGATTGAAGATTTTTGGTATTCATGAACTTCATCGAACAAAACGAAGCACACACGCACATATACTGCAAAACGAATTTATTGTAAAAACGAATGCACTGCGCTACTGAACATATATAATAAAACCAAAGTAAAATTGCTTCGAACAATGCTCTTTTTTCTCGTTGATAAAAATTTCTTTTGGATGTGCAATGAAACGCGAAAAGCGCAATATGCACACACACAAAGAGAGAGAGAGAGAGAGAGAGAGAGAGAGAGAGAGAGAGAGAGAGAGAAACCATGCGGATATTGGATGAAATTTCCGGATGAATCGAATGAAGAAAACTCAAAATATAAGCCACAAAACACGGCGATCGGAATAGAAAGAGAGAGCGGCGGGTAGAGACGAAAAAAACCATATAAGTTTTGGTTTATGCCAAATCGCGTCAGACAAGAGTAGAAACTAGAAAGCATATATTCTTCGGGAGAAATAAACAAAACTCGTTCGCTGAAGAAGAGCAAACAATAATTTTTTTGTCGCATAAAGACTATCCAAGTCGATCTCTTTGTATCGATATGAGTGTGTGTGTGCGTGTTTTCTTTCTTTCATTTTCTGGCAATGTGGCTAAGTTTACTTTTCTGTACGCTATTCGGGGTCGATATAAATTGTAAGCGGCTGAAATGTGTTTAATCCAAAAATATGCCACATCTAATGCACGGTTGCTAACGAAATGGACGTTGAAATATAGCGTGTAGTGATGAAGAGGGCGATTTACTAAAAAAAGGACAATGCTGCTTAAATTCAATAATCAATTGCACGAATTGCTATTTACACTTACTTGCACCGAATGCAATTCGCATACGAAAGAAAAAGTGATAGTGAGGCCATGATACAAATGAAATTTGTACGCTTTAAATAGTTTGGCAGATTAATATCTAGCATTGCAAATCGCTTACGGCCGTTTTTTTTCTCTCTTTCCCAACATCGAAACAGTATTTACAAATGGAGATCGCATCATCATGTCGCATAAGATCCAGCAATCGGATATGTACGTATAAGTTGTATTATAGAAGTGTATTTCTGTGTGTTGCATGATGTGATATCTTGTACACAGATTTTGCTTTCGTACATTCTCCCTCTCTCTCTTCCTCTTTCGCTCTAATATACAGTGTGCTTATTGTGTTCAAATACTTGAAAAAAAAGAGAAAACATCTACATTGGATTATGTTTACATATATACAGAATTTCAGGCGAATTGAACAAAAACGACGATTTTTTTTTGAACACTCGTTCGACGATATTACAACGTTTTATACGCTGAACAGCTTATTAGGAATACGATCGAGATGTACGCCTTTGTCGATATTGTGTTGTGTATGTCTTTTTGTTGCATGTGTGTTTGGGGGTATGTTTAGTTTCGAAAATGTGGTGTAGACTTTGTTTCTAAGCATTTCGTAAAATCGGCATTATTGTATTGTATGTGCATTGTGCAGAAACCAAAGATTTTTTGAACCAAAAACATTTAAATTAAAGCATATGTAAATAAAAAGAATTTCAAGGCTGAAAATATAAACACAATGGGATCTTTTTTTCTTCAAATAAAAAATATATAGAAAATTTATTGAATATAGAGGCAAAGACTGAGATAAATATATAGAGATAGATAGAGTAAGTGAAAATGGATAGAAGTAGACAAAAAGAGAAAAAAAATAACGGAATAAAATCCGTTCCAAATCAAATGCAATAGTACATTAGGAAAAACGATTGTATTATAAAAGAGAAATGAGCAAAATCATATGAAAGCAAACATTGATTTGGCATAACCAAAATCTATAGAATTAGATAGATAGAGAGAGAAAGAGAAAGAGATTATGATAGTTTAATAGGATTGTTTGGCAAACAAAACAAAAGAACTGAACAGAAAGGAGAGACACGAAACGAATTATGAATAGAAAGTGCAAATATTTGTGTATATATATTATTTGATTCGGTCGTATGCATATTGCGCTACGTATTCACATTCACATTCTCCGCTGTTATTGGTATATTTGTTTGTGAAAACTTGCAAAATATGCGGTATGCAATTGTTTGGGCATTTTGCGTATGTCGATGTGTGTGTGTGTGTGTGTGTTTGTGCGAGAGAAAGAACTAGTTTTCGGCAAATACTTCAATTAATAACTCATATAGACTGTTAAGCGCTTTAATGAATCCATACGAAAGTAAGTGCGTACGAATAACAAACAAAATACACACATTCATTTTTGTCGATGATTTTTCCTTTTTATGTGCATTGTTATCTCAAAAAGAGAAGAAAACCGAATAATCGCGAATTTTAAGGTCAATCGGATACTGAAAATGTATTGCAAAACAAAAAAGCTTCAGCTCGATCCTATAGAACAAACTAAAATTGAATATTTGTGCATGGGCTTGGTTTTTGTTACATTAGAATGAAATAAGAGGAAGTTCCATAACAAAAGAAACGAAAATAGAACAAATTTCAATGGAACACATCTAAAATGCGCAAATTTGATTTCAAAATCAAATTAAAATTATATACAGAAAAAAAATTGGAAAACAAAATAAATAAAAGCAAAGCTCAAATTCATAAATCAAATAATTCATTTTATTGGGTATATGTGCTATATATACAGATTTTACAGGACAAGAGAATGGGGAGACGAGCACATATCTACCGCGAGCACATCTCACAAAGTTGAAAATGTCAAAATGTATATAATGTGAGAGCGATAAAATTGAAATGTAATTATATACAGAGAAATAGAGAGAGAGAGAGAAAGAGAATGAGAGATAGTTTTTCGAATGTTCTGTATTATAAGAGCATTAATTTATCTATCTTGTTTCGGTTTTAGTAGTTCAATTCATCTTTGCTCAAATAATTTATTGTTTGCCGCAAACGATGTGTTCTATGATTCGATTACAATTGGCATTTGGTATGTACAGTGGAAACATTTTTTGGCTATTTTCACAAGGGGAGATCCAAATGAGAGTGAACAAGAACGAAAGAAAACTGCAACAAACATTTAGTGGAACATAAAACTACATACATATATCTTGTCATTTTTGGAACAGGATTAACGTTATATTTTCACCAGATTTGTTCTTTTTTTGTAAATTTTACTCGAAAAATGATATGATACATATAGGTAACAATATACAATGGGATTTGTTGAATTTCATTTTTGTTTTTTTTTGAAAAAAAAAAAAAAAAAAAAAAACAGAAGCTTTCACTCTTTTCTGTTCTGTATTTAGTGAACCGCATTAAATCAGTATCAAAAGAACGAAAAATGACAAATAAATATAACTGTCCTGTGTTGCTGACTAAATGAATAACAGTGCGCACTGTGATCGCAAGCTATTTGCGAAATGGATTTTGCAACCTAATGCGATCTGTCTAATCTTTTTCTAATCTGTCTAATCGTCATGTCACTGATGAATTATTCATTTGTCTTATGTATCCAAGTGAACGTTTATCCTCTTCACAAATACAAATCTTTAAATCTTAAATATTTTTCTGTACGATTTACTTTTTTGCTTTGCTAGGCTTATGTAAATCTTTGCTGATTTATTTATTTATTTTTCTTCCTTTCTTTTCATCTCGATTTGCAATCACCCCTCGCGATTCACAAACAAATAAATGCGTGTGTGTATGTGTATTGGAAATAAATATAACGTTAATTGCAATTAAATCGATAAATATTATAAGTATATATTGTATATGTGTTTTTTTATTATCGTTATTTTTTTTTTTGTTTGCATATACATATAGAGTATATCATTATGAAACATAGTACGGATGCATACGTGTATTAAACGTGAAATGATTGGTATTTAAACGGTTTTAAAGTGATCGCCTTACCTTGAAACCTAAACCGTAGTTAGTTTTGTAAAAGCATATAGCGGGGCGCGAAGGTTTGTTTGTTTTTTTTTTTTATATCGGTATTGAATCGATAGATGCAGAGCACATTCGATAAATGTAGCACAAAAAATAAGGAATATAGTATAAAAACGCTATTTATTGTATTTATTTCAAGTCAAGAAAAATAGTGGCATATTTGCGCACGACACACGCATATTATGTAGAAGTAAGAAAATTAAATAAATAAAAACAAAATAGTTACTAACCGTCGTAAGTCCTGACGCAACGTGATAGGTGTGGAAAGTATGAAAAGTATAGCAGCGCGCGAAGATTATATCGATAATGTTGCAGAAAAATATGGAATATAGTATTAAAAACCCTTTTCATTCAAATCATTCAAGTCAAGAAAAAAAAAATGTGTGAAACTTTTGCGCATGAGACACGCATATATGGAAGTAAGAAAAACTAAAAAGAGAAAAAAAAAAACAAAACAATTTCTACTAACCATGATCCAAACTTTAACACACAAGTTTGTTCATCGAATGGAAAATATTCGACATCTATTTCACAGGATGATTTATAAATTGCTGGAGGTTTCCACTCTACTAATCCACCCGAGTATATTGTGGCCTTTGAAATTTAAATTTAACATCAACAAAGCAGTTTTTGGTTTTAAAATATAAAATCATAATGAACAAATAATGTTGCCTTGTACCTTAGTTGCAAGTGTCACTTCAAAATTTCCATCCGCACTTTATAAACATTTAAAACAACAATAGTGGTATTAGCTTAAATTATTATGATTTTCATAAAATAAATAAATAAATGGGTTTAATCGATTCGAATTCGTTCATTTGATTTCATCAATATCTAATTTTACTAGACTAACTTTGTACCTTTTGTCAGCACAAAAGATTCTTTTTTATATGGAAAATTGATTTGTTTTTATGTCATGACCTAAATTTGACAGAGATATGAAATGATATGACGAGAATGCTCATCATTTTTATTTTCAAAAAAATCCCTCCCATCTCTCATTTTGATGCTGCTTTGGGTAAATCTTTCGTCTTATTTTCATTTTGTGCAAGTAAGCACTTTTGTTTTGATATTCAAATCGCTTCAATTTTTCTTTTATCCCATTTCGATTTTATTCAAAATTGATTTCATCTGATTTGGTGGTCCTTATATAAATGTGTGTAATGTTTCGCGTAGCATTACGATATGCATGCCCACATTAAACAGAATATATAATATTGTATTAAATGGAATAAACAAAATGTATGTTCATAGTAATAATGAGAGAATGCTTTCCGCAAAATCGATCTTTGATTTTGGTTTCTTGCATCAATCTGAGATAATCCCTTGCTCCTCGCCTTGATTTCCCATCTTCTTTTTTTTTTGCTTTTAATTGGTATGACATGCACAAAAATAAAATCTATGATTTGAGTGCCAAGACTGTGAACTCAACGAAAATCAATATGAGCAAAAATGTTAAAGTGTTCGGTATGTGTGTGGGAGCGTACAAGAGCACGCGCTCATGTTTGTATGTGACTTTGTGGCTATCATTGATAAATGATGGCTTAAAGTCAAGTTCAAAAGAAATATTATCTTGGTAACGACACAATTCGCACAGTATACGTTCTTCAAATGCTTATTCGACAATGGCAGCAGGATTGTAAGCCGTCGTTATTAAAAATGACTTTGTTTGGCGCTGTGACTTTTTTTATCTTTCGTTCGTTCTGGTTTTCAATGAAGCGTCAATCGTTCGGGTGTATGTTTGGTGTTTGTGTTGTCTTTGTCTTTAGTTTCGGGATTTTCTCGCTGAATGTGCCTGTCTTCACGGAACTGCATGAGATTATATTGAAATGCGTACAAGTGACACACAAATATCAGATATTTAATTCGGTGGCTGGTAGATTTCGATGTGATCCAAAAGAGACACGAGACAAAAATGTCATGCCACGACGACGACAACAACAGCAACTTCTCCTTCAAATGAATGGAAGAAGAATCAAGACACACGCTAATGCTAATGACACCATTAAACAGCAATAAATTATGTAAAGAATACTTTTCTCTCATCTATTATTGTCTCATTTCGCATGTTCGATACTGACTTTATTAGATGGGAATCAGTATTAAAAATCCATACGATGCGTTGCACAGACACGCAGACTGAAAAATGAAGAAAGAAGAAAACCAACAAAAGAAAAAATTGAGCGAGAATAAGCGAGAGCAAGAGTGCCACTAGCGATAACGTTCGACTTAAAACAATGACATTCACATATTTATGCCTGCGATGTTGGTGTGTATGTGTGTGTGTGTGAGAGGAAGAGAGAGAGAGTTTTTGTTACTTCTTTTTATTGTCATTTTACGTGGTGGTTGAAAGCAACGAAAATTAATGATTTCATAAGTAGCCATTCGAACGTAAATAAACAAGCACTTAGTTACGATGAGTTCAGTCAGTATCATAGAACATTATGTTTATGCATTTTAAACCATTAAAAATCATGGTTCTTCCAATGATAAAAGAATAAGGCGATTTTTTTATTCTCGTTTTTTTATATACTTGCACAAATCGATGTACGTGCGGCATATTTAACATAGCTCACTCAAGTGACATAAATCTCTTCTATTTTCAAAACTGCTTTAATTGAAGATGCTTGGGAATATGCGGATTTTTGTTACCATTTTCATATTTTTAAAACTATCTCTTTTTGTTACCTCCTGTGATATGTTCACTGACAAAACTAAGGTTATGATTTTGACAACGTGGTGTTATAATGCTTACATTCCAACAAATGTTGTTAAGTTGCCGGCACAATGACAACAATCCTTGGCAACCTCAGCACATTCGTTAGAATGTAAACATTTGCAACACAATGTTGTCAAAATCATAAACTTAGTTTTGTCAGTGTATAGAATTTTCTGCACGGAAAATTCAATTCGAAATTGTAATTTTTGGTCACATACTTAAACGTGAGTCGTATTTTTTTTCGCGTTTATCGATTTTCGCAGACGAAGCAAACGTTGAGTTTAATTTTATGTCCGTTAGCACGAACATTGCATAATAGTGATAAGAAGTCATAATAGTATGAAGCAACCAACAACAATGAACCAAAATAATAAAAAGAAATGAAGATAGAGAGAGATAGAGAGAAATGCGGCTTGTTGTTTTGGTTTGAAGATTTTGGATTTTGGTTTCAGCAATGTCATGGCATAGGCAAATTCTATCGAATGACATGGTAAATTATGGAGAATTTGGAATGATACAAATCCCCAAATAATGACAAATAATTTTGGATGGATCATATCATTGAGTCGTCTATCGTCGTGCAGATGTTTAGAAAACGTTGGCCACACAATTTATATATGCATAGAAAAACCGCATCGAATCGCTTACACTCGACATAATCTTGCATCCAGTGAGAGAGCGAGATTAATGCAAAAGTGTCATCTCATTGGCTATCAATATCCAACATGTACATGTATTTGGAAAAAGTGTTTGTGTCACTTTGTGATTACAATCAGCATCCGACACACATACACACACATACACAAAAAGCGAACGATAGAGAACATCCAAAGATATGTGTCTATTCGACACAACCAACAACATCCAATTTATCCAGCATTGATTCAATGTTGTTGTTTGACATAGTTATCTAGTGACCAAAAGAGAAATTCTGTCCAGTTTGTCAATTATTTATGGCCAAAAAATTGTACGAATTTTATGTGTACACTTTTGGCCTCTTATCTATGGACAAATCATGTTTCTGTATTATCAGGTAGAGTAATTGGTTGATGGTTGACGAAAACAATTGTATCATAGCTTATTGTTCTCGGCTATTGTTCTGTGCTGACTTTGGTTTCAGCCATCTGATTAGTTGCTGCAGTAAATAGTTATTGCAATGGCAGCAAGGCGACAAACTTACGAAATTGCTTTGTATCCACTTAAAGTCTTTACACTGGAAGAGCTTCATGAGCATTAAAAAATCTATAACAAGAACTTGTCAAAATCTGAACTTTATATAGATCGTATAGTGATTTTCCTCGCTTTTCCGATGGGAAATCGACGAAACTAACGTGGCCTCTCATCCCATTCGCAGCTAAGAACGACAGCCAAATTCACGACGTAATATCAAACGCATCAAAGTGTGTGAGATTATGTGCTTAGCACAGTACACATAACTAACACATACATGTTGTACTTAGCAGTGAAAATGTTGATTTTTCTCTGGGCCTATTTCACAAATATCCATTCGGTAAGATTTTTTCAACAATTCTCAAGAATGAAACAGAAAGAGGCATCTTTTAACAACTTCCATGTTTTACTTGTTATAGTTCTGTGATTTTCTCATAAATAAGTGAGAATTTTGTGTGGTTTCTCAAAAAATCTCAAAATAGTGTATCAAACAACAAACTAATTCCGTACTGATTATGTTAAATCACAGTACAAATCAGGTATATTATAAGCTCCCTGATTAAAAAAATAAGCTAAAAATTCGTCTAAACTTCAAGCGCATTTTATCATTGTGAAAATCGCCTATGAGAAGCTTTCAGTTTTTACATTGATCAAAAATAATCGTTTCACAAAACGATCTCAACGAAAAGGCCACATCTTTGTTTGAGAAAATCTCACCGATTTGTGAAATTGGCCCCTGGCTTCACTTCTGGAAAACTTTCTATCAGTTTGAATCCAGTTATTCTACAAGATTTACAAGTCAAGCTCACGTATAAATTCAGTTTATTCATAGTCAGAAACTATGCACTTGTAAGTGCGATAGAATGAACTTGTAACATTGTAGTAAGATGGTATACCTATACTCATTTAAGAAAACCACGAGACATCCAATAATAAATATATTCTCTTTCTAAAACATCGGAACTATTAGAATATACTATATGTATAGAATAGATCAATAAGGCGTTTGGCAATAAGAAGAATAATATAACCGTATATGCATACACAATAACTAACAATAACCAGTTATGGAAAAATGTACGATTTGGTACTGAAATAAGAATGCAAGTGAAAAAAATTGTCCATTCGAATCGAAAGTGTGTTGGTGTTTTCGAAGAAAGCACACAAAAGAAGACAATATTTTTGTTCGAACTTGGCAAATAATAATAATAAGTCAAAAGTTTTGTTTGCTTTAGCAAATGTAAATGAAAAATGATGAGAGAAAATAAACTTTCTCATTTATATTCACAAAATTTATTTGACAATTCGCATTCATATTGGATTCTTTGTCACGCCAAATCTTTCTCACTGTGGTTTTGTTATTTTGCAAGTGCACATGACGCCATACATTATGCGAGTGAAGAATCGTGTATATTTTATTGGTGTTCATCTTGCTCGTACTCCAAAAGTAAAAGTGATTTCTTTAATAAGTATACCGCACTAAAAGCACTGCGATGAAATGCATTCATTGAGTTGGCATTTTGGCTTCTTCTCAGCTTTAATCATTAAACACGGAATTTCCAATTCGAAGGTATTAATTTTCTTGTGTGTTTGGGTTTGTTGTTGTTTGGCTTTCATGGCAATGGCTCATTGCGAACAAATGAGTGTATTAAGTGATAAGTAAGATTGAACGTTTTTGTTCACGATTTAGATGTATGCATACAAAGACACTTTGAGACAGAGAGAGAGAGAGAGAGAGAGAGAGGGGGGGGACCATATACCTTCTAAGGCAATTTCATTTCATTTATTAAATAAATTTATCTCGGTTTTCCATTTATATGACGCAATCTGCTTGCTTCAGCTCTTTCTCATTTTTGCATTGTGACAATCATAGCACAAACCGCGCACTCTATATATATCTGTACCATGAGAGAAGGCAATAGAATGACATAGACGCCAGACTTAATAATATATGACTACATTCGCGTGTAATATTACGAAAACATATGTTGTTGTTTTTTTCTGTTCAAGTAAATTTCATTTTTGTACAATTCGCGACATATTCATTACTTGTATTTCTCGAAATAAATTTGGCTGTTTCTATGATTGCATGTCGTTTTCTTTTCAACCGATTATATTTTGTGTTGGATGCTTTTCTTATTACGTTTGATTATGCACGAACATTTTGATCGATTGCCACATTTGAAAGGGACACAAAAAAGCGGTTGTGTCACATTTTCTCTTCTCCCATATTCTCTAAATAACAAATTACAACAATAATGTTACGTTTGTCAACAATAATCATAGCTGTGATAGCAACACAATTCATATCATGTAAATTGTATGGGCAACTCTCTATGACATATTCACGGTGTTGTTTGCTGCCATTGAATCATATAGGGAGAATGAAAAATGTTTGATATAACAACAATCTTCGTTTGTCGACTCTACTTTGCTGCACTGGCATTTACTTTGCATACTGTGTGCGTGTGTGTATGTGTGTGCCAATTCGATGAAGATAGTAAAATTTGCAAGAAAAATCGAAAGTTTGGCCGAATTTTTATTTTTATCGTCACTTCAGTATTTTCAGTGGTGTCGGTGCTAACGACACTGCTATTGCTGGTGCTATTGCAGCAATGACAGTCAAATGACTAAGCGAATTTTGCTTGCGAAAATTGTTGTATCATATCCATGTTATCATCCTGCCAAAATCTAATTGCATTTCGCTATGTTATACATTTTTTTTCTTCCTTTTTGAATTCTCTCTCTTTCTCTCTCGCTCTTTTGAATTTCGCCATTTAACATGACTTTTCATACGTGGATAAAATCTGCGAGAGGAAATTTAATTGCATTTCGGCTTTTGTAACGAATAAAAAAGCAAAATTTCAAAAAAAAAAAAATCTCGTTTTCGATGGAAATTCAAATTTCATTCTTCATTTTATGCATGTTCGTTCGTTGCATATTCGTTCACAAAGCAAATAGATATACGACACATGTGGTATTTAAAGCCGTCGTTAAAACGAGAATTTTGCAAAGTGCTCGACAGTTTTTTTTATTGTTGGTCGATTGACGATAGTTATTTATGCATTTGACTTTGCATTTTGCTCTTTCGTCGTTGCATATCGAACACAAAACAAACTACGATTATTTTCGCAAATTAAACAAATGCTCTCTCTCTCTCTCTGTGTCTCTCTCGCTTCCTCTGTAGAGTTTTGTCGTATTCGTTTGAATACTCATTCGCTCCATTTGCCATTTATAGAATGAAATCAAGTGCAAATTTGTTGCCATAAAGAAGAAAAAATAGAGAACAGAACATACCATTGAGCTTTTTATAAAACGAAAAGACAATCAATTGAGAAAAGAAAAAAACCATTTTAATACGCTCGATGTCTAATGAACCAATAATAATTGGCTTTTCACCCATTTTTCGAGAGAGAGAGAGAGAGAGAGAGAGAGAGGGGGGGGGGAGAGAGAGAGAGAAATTGCAAGAAGGGAACGATCTAACTGATTCAACGAAAATTTTGACTCAATTTTCCAACTCAATTCATATATTAGTGGTGGATATTTAATCCTTTTTATCGTCCGATTGAAATCATATTCAAAACAATTCAAAGACACACTAAGAGATAAATAGAGATGGCGAAGATGTTTAAAATCGAATTTCAGAAAGATAGAAATGATAGCTAAATCAAATCCAATTTTCGATATAATTAAATTTGGTTTTGAAATGTACGTTCGTCGGGTGTCATGCCATTATTTCCTCCTGCATGTGATTTCAATACATCCAAATACGATAAAGTGTCGAAAATGTAATAATTGCATAAAATGAACGATTAAATTTCGAACATGTGTTCCATGTCGAGGGTCTGATTATGATGAAAAACACATCTATGACTGAGAGTTAGAACAGAAATTTTTTTTATAACCATTTTTCGAATGGAGATTTTGCGTAACATACACCTATTTTCAGCAATGTTATTCGCTTATCAATTTTTGTAGTACAAACGAAAATGGAGATGAAATAAGTATGAAATTGAAATTGAAATTTCTATATGAAAAACAAATGGATAATATTGAATTTAATCGATAAGCGATGCAAACTTCATTATATAATGGATAAAATTGGTTTTTCCAATGTGAAATAAATGAACATGATTGATTTTCAACTCTCTTTTTTTCTGTTCCATTTTTGCCTCTGATAAAGAATAGAAAAAAAGTCAAAATATTGACATGAACAATAAGAATCATGTGGTTTTGATTATTGGAGTGACCAAATGGTGCAAAACAACAAGAACTGACATCGATGAAGATAAACTAGATTTTTCATTTGACACATCGAACGTTGGAACCCGTATTTGCTTTTGAATGACGAATATTATAAATTGAATATTTATTAATTTTGACATTTTGCACTGATTCAATTGAATACACACATTAAATCGTTGAAAAATTTTCTAAATTTTGACAAATTAATATCGACGATGGATTTTAATTGATTTTGAACGAACCAACATTCTTCATTGAACGTGAAACATCTTAATATATGTTCAATGTTCAAATGAAAATTCCAAAACTGTATAACATTTTGTTTAATTTAAGAAGTTCCCAAAGCAGTGTAAAACAGCTTACCAAAGCTGCGCATTTCTAAAGTTGTACAAGTTGTCGATGTGTTTCCAATTTTATTTCTGCTTGTTTAAATTCAAGTTGAAGTTTTGGATAAATTACTCATACTTAAGTGAAATAAGAAATTGATTCATGTTTTTCATTTGTAATATTTCATGCATTTACAAGAATCTTTTCAGACATTTTTGAAATAATCCCTTTTTTTCTTTCAATTCACGTACATATCGATTCGAGTGCTTGTAATAATAAATTTGTTGTGAACAAACAATGAATATTTTCTGTCGCTGTTTTTTTTTCTACTGCGAAAAGTAATTGAAATCTTGATAATCCGTCAATAATGTTATTGAATAATAACAAAAAAAAATCATTTTTTTAATGGTAAACATTGAACCGGGTTGATACGTTTGTGTATCATACTTACTTGTTGTATAACTGTATTTGATGTGTATGTTGATAGTGCCGCAATGATTATGAAAAAAAAAACAAACGAAAAAGAACAGAAAAAAGCATACAGATGAAATTTTAGTTATACAATCAAACCGAATTGGTAGGTTTAGGTTATGCCTCGCACCACAATATCGGGCCGCCATATATGATCACTTGGCACATGAAGCATCTGCACTCCACCATACTCTTTCGGCTCCCACCTGTCAAATCAACATCGTTTTTGTTTTCATTGCTAAAAAGATATATTTGCTTCTATTGCACGTACCTGAGCTTATAGTCGAACCATGACTGGAAAAAGAAAGAAAGTGTAGATAAAAAAACAAACATTTTAAAAAAAGCTTTCTGTCCCAATATGTGACATAACGGAAATGACCGTATTTCCATTTAAAACTCTTATTAAGGGTGCTTATACCATGCTTCAAAAAGTTGCAAAACTACCGTTAAATATTTAAAAAAAACTTTGTGTCACGCGTTATTATTTATCTTTTTGAGATTACATTATAAATGTATGGAATTTGACTGCTGATACTACAGGCTCACAGCCATAATTGAAGGGATAGCCATTTTACTTGTTGGATGCAATACGATCGAATTTTTCGTCGTCTTTATCATAAGATTCATTGACCAATCCAAAAATATGACCAATCCATTGACAAAATTAACGATTACACATTTTTCCTAACACAAGAATCCCATTTGGTATAGATTTGATGACGGCCATCGAATTCAAGCAAAAATAAATCATCATCATATTATTTCGACTTTAATATTGTATATGTACATACGTTATGTATGTATTTTACGCACAAACACACACAAACATCGATGAAATTGTTTTTCATTTCGATTTTATACACAAATCAAATGCCTAATTGAACCACTATATTGAATACCAAAGGGCTGCGATCAAATGATGCGAGAAAAAAAGCCATATATAAACCACAATGATGGTATATACGGTCATCGTCGTGACGATTCATTTTTGTACAATTTTATGTAGTAAATTCGAATGAGAGAACGATGTAACTACGAAGGTAATTGGGCCTATAAAATTCGATTCAATTCCACTAAAATCGACAATTTAATAGAAAAATAACAAATAAGCTTTCAATAAATGTGGGCGAATTTTCTTAATTCAAATAAACAAAAAAGAGGAAATTCCGAAAGACAAACGTATGCAGTCTTGATTCTGCAACAAATCGATAATAAAATTGTAGATAATGTGAAATTTTTTGCTGTTACTGATTTGATCGAATTCCAATTTTGATGGCACTGTGTATGCGCACACAACCCATTATATATTTGTAATACAAAAACGATTCGCTCTAGGTGTCATAAAGTGTTTGTGTTATTTGTGTGTGTATGTGTTTTTCATCACCATTCACATGGTTGCAGAGATATTTGTTTTTGTATATCGTCAACTGTAATCGCAAAATAGCAAATTGAAATTTAGTGGATGGGTCAGTTAATCCGCTTCAACCAGCATAAAATTATCTATCAACATTCCATTTTGTGAAACCATTCAAAATTAAATGAAAAACGATTGATGGCTTTCGACGAGAAACGTTTTTTTATTTGGTTCGTTGTTGTTTTTTTTTTTTTTTGGGGATAGCTCACATATTTTGTTGTTGTTTTGCCGTTGTATAGCTGTTTAATTTGTGTTTGTAGCGGTTTGTAAAAACTGTGATGTATTGCATAAAATATGGTTATACACGATGGGGAAAAATTGAGTGGGATTTCTGAGGCGAATGTTCCCCGAAGTCAAATCAACATCATAAATTTTCGTTTTATTGCTAAAAAAGATACATTAATTTCTATTGCACGTACCTGTTCCACCCAAAGATTTGTTGTCATTATTTGATTTTTTAGATTCTGTGATCCATGCGCCACCACACGTTGCCATCGTAGTCGTCATCGTCCAGCATCCAGAACAAATAGATACAATGGGAGAAAGAAAACCGGAAAAAAATCGAAAAAACAAAAGCATTTGTTTAATTGTGTTGCATCGGTGATTGACGGTTATTTGTTAGCCAAACTGTCGAAAATCACGCGTTTTTTTATCTTCTCTTTTCCTCGTTACGCACTATTTAACCATAGAGATTAGTTACTCAGTAGTATGACATTCCATGCGAGCAACAGCAGCAACAAGAACAACGAAATCTCACATGAAATGGTGCACACATTTTATCTCAGAGAGTGGTGAAAATAAAATAAAAACCGCAATAAAAACAGCTTGAAATGGAAATAAAATTCCGAAACATATTATTCGTATAATCCAAGTGTTGAAGTGTCATTATGTTTATTTGCTGTGTGGCCAGTGTGTTCAATAACAACAACAGCAACAACAAAAACCGATATAAAGCAATGTAAAATGTTTGTGATTGTATGTGCGTCTAAATGGCAAAGGATGCCAATCGAAATCGATGTTGTAATGGCATCAGCGACTGCACATATTCTCACACACAGCCAAATTCGAAACTTTTTCCTATATTTTTTTTCAATCGAGGACGTTTGTTGTTATTATTGGTTTTGTATTCTTTTGATTGCCAGCGAAGCGAAGAAAAAAACGTACAAAAACTTTCCTTTCCATTTGCGGCTGCACAGTAATAATTATTGAACCGAACAAATATTAGGACGATATACTCACGAATTTATATTTATCTAGAGCTTGTCATCGTCAATATTATCGTGTCAGTTTGCGTGTACATGCACTTAAAATAAATTCAAACGCTTTTGCCAATATCGATTCGGGACGATCAAATTCGAGTGTATAATATATATGTATCATTTTTTATTGTGCTCGCTTTGGATGTTTTTCTTTCTTTTTCTTTTTATTTTGTTTGCTATGTTTGTTGTGTGTGTGTGAGAGAGTTTTTTTTCTGGTCTTTTTTTGTCTTTCGGCAATGCGAGTTAGAGAATATAAAGTGTTCGTCTTGCAAAGTCGCACAAACGTTCACATTTCTTTGGATTTTGGATTGGCATCCAAAAGCAAATACAAGAAACA